CTAAGAAACAAAATTACATTGCTCTTTCAACAACCGAAGTGGAATATATTGTTGCTGCTAGTTGCACTTCTCAAGATCTTTAGATGAAATCTCATCTTTTAGACTATGGTTATCGATTTCAACGAATTCCCAATCTATTATGATTCTAAAAGTGCAATTGCGAATTGCGATTTCTTACAATTCAATTCAACACTCTATGACGAAGCACATCGATATTTAGTACCATTTTATTAAAGATCGTGTCTTAAAAGGAAACATTGAACTTATTTTTGCTCCATCTGACGATGAAATTGCTGATGTCTTTACCAAGACATTAGACAAAACCAAATTCAACGGGTTTCTGAACAAAATGGGTATGATGTTGCCTAATCCTCAGTTCTTCCAAGAGGCATATACTCTCTGATGGAGACACCAGAAAGTGAATTAATTCCGAAGTCAATATTTTTTTCATCTCGGAATCATTTCCCTCGGAATAAATATGATCATTTTACATGTCTTTTTGTCTAAACTCTTCTTCTAGTTTTAAGTTGTACAACTTTCCTCATCTATTGAAGTTCATGACCATTATAGTTACACTGGTATTATCTCGCCTCGTAATCTATGTCAAAAGAGTGTTATGAATTTCACCTCGGAATTCAAGTCTGAAACGGTAATGTGTATACAACTCTTACCACTATCCAAGCTCTGGATCTTCATATCTCGGAATCTCAAATCTATTTAAAAAATATCCTATAAGATCTTCATACATTTTACCTCTGATACTCAATCTGAAATTGTGCCATCTCAAACTCTATATCATGTATAAGTGATTGTATATTAAAGTGTGAATGTTGTAACATAATACTTTGTTTTAAAAATGGTGATATATTGATGTGTAATTATTAATATTACAAAATTAATAAATTTAATGTATTTTAGATAATAAACAAGTTTTAAAAATGAAAATTGTGAAAAAAAACATGATTATCAAATAATGAGCTAAAAAAGTTATGAAAATGTAAAATATTTTAAAAATATCATTGAATTAAAAAGACATAAAAGACTAACAAACTATCATTTTTGTTTTTAAAATACATTTATGACAGGAAGAAATGGTTATTGCAAATGAAATTGGTATTTTAAAAACAATAGTCATTTTAAGTAGAGGTGGCAATCGTGTCGTGTCGTGTCGGGTTCGTGTCGTGTCGAAACACTAAACGGGTTGAAAGTGCTTGACCCTAACCCGACCCATTTAATTAACGTGTCGTGTCGTGTCAACCCGTTTATTTTCGTGTCGAGTTCGTGTTGGGTTTCGGGTTTGGGCTATACCTTGAAATATGTCGTGTCATGTAAGGTTAAAAGATTGAGCATATTGAAAGAGTAGGAGTTGGGTAGGCGGAAAGGTAAAACTAATAGTTTGGAGGCATAATAGATGAATTCATAGCAAGTTTAGATGACAAAATTAAAAGATTGAAAGTTGGGGATGCGGATGACAAGGTCACTAGGATGTGAGAGTGGTGAAAGAGACTGGGTAGTTTGGGAGAGAATGGAAAAACTAAAATGAAGTCTTGATCTAGACGGCTAAGTCATTTTAACATTACAAAACAATTCAATTCGAATGTTTTCTTTTACTTATGGTTTTGGTTTTGTATCTTTCTAGTTTATTTAAATAATTCAAAAAAACTTGCATACAAATAAACGGGTCATTTTCGGGTCATATTCGAGTTGAAATTCTCAACCCTAACCTTACCCATTTATTTTTCGTGTCGTGTCGTGTCAACCCGTTTATTTAAACAGGTTGAAATATCTTACCCAAACCCATTTATTTCGTGTCGGGTTTCGTGTCGTGTCAATTTTTGACACCTATAATTTTAAGGACTAAATATATAAAAAAAAATATTAATAAGTAAATATGTACAAATGAGAAATATATTAATTTATTAAGTCATTTTATCCGGCTAGCATAAAACAGCCGATCATATTATCATAATGATTAAATGTGTATAATTTAACAAATTGAAGGGTAATAATCAAATGTTTACAAATAAAAAAATATATTACTTTTTTAGTTATTATCCCATCGGATTGCATCCGCCAAAAATGTGTCACTAACTCCCGAGTCCCAACTAGCGAGGGAGGAATCCGAACCGCAATGACATGCACGAGGGCTTATTCCTTGCTTTGTTCTAAATAATAGAATGACAAAATTGGGTTTAAGGCGACAGGTGCACATAAGAGCATGTGCAAAGAGCAAACAAGGGCTTTTTAGTAATGAAAGATGTGTTTATTTTCCTAAAAGAAATCAGATGATAATTTATTAATTTAAGTTATCAATCATGTCAGTTGACACCTATTGACCCAAGGGACTCATTGCCTTCTCGAGCTCTCGCATTTTGCAAACTTTAGTAGATTTGTTACGTTTGTTTTGAACTTATCAATTAAAATGGACAAATAGAAAAATTAAATGCATAACAAAATATATTCTTTTATCAATTTTATAATAGAAATATTTAAGAGTTTATGCTTAAACTGATATCGTATAGAGTTATTTGGTTCGTAAAATACAAATTTAATCATTGTAAATTAGTCATGTTGGTAAAAGAGTCTTTAGTCAATCATAAACTTATAGCTCGAGTTATTAAATATTAATTTTGAAAATATTTTATTTAAAATAAGATTATATTTATGCCCAATAGTTCTTTAATAAATATTTTTGTTACACTTAATCAGTGGCGGACCTTAGTGGTGCCCGGGGGATCCCGGGCCACTTTTCCGATTCCGACGCGTAGTATAAAAAAAATTATGTATTATTTTTTTTTTCTATTAGGTACACCGGCTTAAAATACAAATGCCACTATCAATTTAGATTTTTTCGGAAATTTTTTTAGTGTCACCCTACTAAAACGTTCTGCGTCCGCCATTGCACTTAATATAAAAACTAGTGTGTGATAGGTTTTTCGATAAATTATAGTTTCCCTTTGACGAGATTTAGGCTGGGAATTATGTCTAATAGGAGGCTTAGGGTGTTTTTAATTGTTTATTTGAAGCGTTTATTGACATATTTCAATTTGTCATATTTAAGAGTTTTTGATAAATTATTTTTTATAAAGAGCTTTAAGTGTTTGTATATGAAGATTTTATAAATATTTATTGACTTGAATAAAGAGTTTTTGATAAATTATTTTCATTTTTACTTATTAATCTATTTAAAGAGTTTTTGATGAGTTATTTTCTAATTATACATATAAACACCAATAGCCAAAAACTAAAAATTAGGTTATCAACTTATTACGTAATAACCTAAACTAAAAAATAAAAAAATAATAATAAAAAAAAAAACCTTTCAACTGCTAAACCAACCTCTTAATTATTAATAATGATAAAATAATAAATAAATAAATAAGCAAAACTGAAGTAACTAAATTCAAAGAATAAATTTTACAAAATTTAAAATAATTTGGACATATTTTAGAAAATAAAATTTCATAAAAGTGACTAAGTTTATATAAAAGAACGATTTTGATATTGTATTATTTTTTTTATTAATTAAAATGGAAAAATAAACAAATTAACTGCACAACAAAATATATTTTTTTATTAATTTATAATAAAAATATTTTATAGTTATTGCTTGAATTAAATATATTCTTTTATTAATTTATACTAGAAATATTTTAGAGTTTATGCTTAAAGTGATATCTTATAACGTTATATGTTTCATAAAATACAAATTGATTCATTGTAAATTTGTCATGTTGGTAAAAGAGTCTTTATTAAATATTAATCATAACTTATAGCATGAATTATTAAATATTAATTAAGAAAATATTTTATTTAAAATAAGATTATACGTAATAGTTCTTTAATAAATATTTTTGTCATTTGATATGCAAACTAGCGTGTTATAGACTTTTCGATAAACTATAGTTACCTTTTGACGAGGTTTAGGTTGAAAATTATGTCTAATAGGAGGTTAGGGGTGTTTGTTATTATTTATTTGAAGTGTTTATTGATTTATTACGATTTAACATATTTTAAAGTTTTTGATAAATTATTTTTCATAAGAAGTTTAAGTGTTTGTATATGAAGATTTTATAAGCACTTATTGATTTAAATAAAGAATTTTTGATAAATTATTTTCACTTTTACTTATTGACTTATTTAAGGAGTCTTTAATAATTTAATTTCTAGCTATACATATAAACACCGATTGACAAACACTAAAAATCAATTTATCAATTTATTTCATTTTAATATCAAATAAGGTAAACTAAACATTTAAAAAAACAATTGTTAAGCCAACCTCTTATGCTAACAATGATAAAATAATAAAAACATGTAAGCAAAACTGAAGTAACTAAATTCAAATAATAAAATTTACAAAATTTAAAATAATTTGGACATATTTTAAAGATGAAAATTTTCATAAAAATTACTAAGTTTACATAAAAATTCCATTTTGACATTTTATCATTTTTTATCAATTAAAATGGACAAATAGACAAATTAAATACATAACAAAATATATTCTTTTATCAATTTTATAATAAATATATTTCAGAGTTTATGCTTAACGTTATATGGTTCATAAAATACAAATTAAATCATTGTAAATTAGACATGTTGGTAAAAGTGTCTTTAGTCAATCATAAATATATATATATATATATATATATATATATATATATATATATATATATATATATATATATATATATATATAAACCATATGGTTTGTATAAATACAATGTTTTTTACATTCGAACCACAATGTTATATATAAATATATATTACTTATTTTTCACACACTATTTTGTTATATGACGTTCACATTACATGATAACGGAGTAACACGAAACCATATTGATCAAGGTCAAGGTCAGGGTAAAACTCTCTTCAGGTTTTACATTAATGGCGAGAGAAAATACTGAAGGCTGGCATCAAGTTCAAAGAAGAAGAAGGTATGGAAAGGAATATGAAATCAACAGGAAGCTGACACTTTCTACTTCCAAGATTTCCCAATGGATTGGGACAAAGCAGTGTTATGGGGAACCTTTAGCAGATATGGGATGGTTGTTGATGTGTACATTGCCAAGAAGCTGAATAGGCTCAAGAAGAGGTTTGGCTTTGCTCTTGCGAGTCCAAGATGTGTCAGCATTTGAAAAACGTTTAAATGGGATCTACATTGGAGCACAACAGATCAGTGTTAACATAGCAAAGTTTGATAGGCAATAAGCAAGAACTAAGTCACAAAACCCACCCTACTAGACCAGTAAACTCAAGTGTAGATGCATAGAAAATGTATAAAACCTTTGCTGATGTTGTAAGAGGTACAAAACCTGGACATACAGAGGTGGTCGAAGGAAATGAGTGAATGAAAGAGCAGAAGAATGAAAGAAATTGAAAGAAAAAGTGATCAAACTGCTATCATTAGCGGAGTCAAGAGATTACATGCAGACCACTCTGGTGGGGGAAGTAGAAAGCTTCCAAGCACTTATGAACGTGAAAGCCTTTCAAGAGGTTGAGGGCTGCCCAATGATCTTCATACGATACCTTGGGGGATTAAAAACGTTACTTGAATTTACTGATGTAAAAGAGAAAGAGGAATTCATCAATAAAGGAAAAGAGATCTGGAAGCCATGGTTCAGAAAATTAGATCCTTGGTCAATAGGATGAAATTTCAATGATCAGATTGCATCACTAATTATACAGGGGGTTCCTCAATATGCTTGGTGAGAAGAAGCTTTTAGTATCATCGCTAGCACTTAGGGAAAGGTAGTTATTCCAGAGGAATGCATCACCGATTCTCCTAATCTTGCTTTTGGGAGGGTTGGAATAATCACATCTCATCAACACCACAGTTACAATAATGGTGGATGGTAGGCCATACGTGATCAAAATCATTGAAGATTTGTTTGAATCCCTTAAACTCAGTCCTATTCTAGCATCCAAAGACTATTACCCGAATATGGTATGGTGGAACGAAGGTGATACATGAGATAATATCAGTAGCAATGGTGAAAGTGCAATTCGATCGGATAATGAAGAAGCTACGCCGGTAACATCTCTGGTGAGTACCGCCTGGAGACACCATAGTGATGATCAGAAAAATTACCAGGAAGACGAAGAGACCCACGTTAGTAATTCATTCCCTGTTCCCGAGAAAGTGGCACACATTCTTAATGTTGAAGACCGTTGGAGAGAATATGAAGCGACACAACCGATAATCCTAGGGCGTACATATCCAGGGGCGTCCTCACCTTTGGGCCAAAATAGAAGTTGGGATAGAAACTCACCAATAAAAGAGAATTCTCGAGCCAGGCCCACCAAATCGTTGAACCATAATCACGTTCCTTCTCGTTCTAATTCACCCCTCCAGTCTTAAAATTCTGGCGATGGCTCTAGAACGCTCTCAGCTGCCTAGCAAAAAAAATCCCCCCCTTTCTCCTTCTTCACAGAACTCTTTTTCTAGCCCATGTGAGGATGGTCCAAATGAGGTGAGGCTGTTTCAAACTCAATCAAGAGATTCGAAATCCACTACCTTGGAGATAGTTAAGATAATTGAGGTGGGGGAAAAACTAGGTTTCTAGGTTAGAAATAGTGCGGAGCAACTCAAGCAAATGATCAAGGCACGGGGAGTCACAATTGTGGATCAATGAATATCTTCTCAAACAATATACGTGGAACCGGGTGTGAAGTACAAAGGGGTTGGCTAAAAGATTATCGACAACAAAACCATTCCTTTTTTGTAGGGCTCCAAGAAATGAAATCAAAGGAAGTTAAGGGGAGTCTAGATAAACAAATTTGGGGATCGTCTAATTTCCAATGTGAAGTAGTTGACCCAGTGGGATGTGACATCCCCAAAATCTCGTCCAGATTAGACCGATTTTCATTTATGCTTTTAAAATAAATTCAGAGTAAGTCCTTTTGATTTGAAAGAGTTGCGGAATTTGTTCCCAAAAACAAAACATGATAAAACAATGTTTACCAAAGCATTTCATAAAAGAAATGTATTTTTCATTATATAATCACAACTCGGGGTGTCATGTTCCGATATAGACCAATAATCATAAACGATAACATTACAAGTCATTCAACAAATATTTACATATAAAGACTTGTAAACAAAACAACTTGATGGTTCATCCATCTTACGCCATTGCGCCACTTCCTGTAATACAAATAAAATTGAGTGGGTCAGGCTTGAGAGCCTAGTGAGCATATAGGGTTTTCAACCCACAATAAATAATTAAATTAATTATTATCAACGAACAATAACCCAGTTACCCATTCCCGTTATTCTCACTTTATGTCCCTAAAATAACTAACACAAGGGACCTAATCTAAGAATATTTTCATCGGGGTGACAACACATGCTGCGGGGGTTCCTCAGCAATATAAGTCAAATAAGGCAACCATGAGGGGGGATGGAATACAACGAATGAACACCCAAGTTCATTAACACCTACAGGTTACGAGCCTGCTAGCGTTCCACTAGACTGTCTAGAAAATTCTGTGGTCATCATCTAAATTCCGCTAGATGACTGGATCAAAACAACAACGAGGCCTCTCATCTGTTTATTACACACCAACTATCTACCCATGTTCTACCCAACATATTTGTAGATAAAACATACATTTTTATACATATTTTCAAAACCTATATAGCATGCTTGATCAATACATTTTCCATATAACAGATGAGGCACACACACATAACACGTATTTCATATAGAAATAATCAGATCTGTAAGATAGAAGAAAGTGAATATACATTCACACACATAACACGTATCTTGTATAAAATACTTCATAATTATACGTTAGGAGAAAGTAACAAGGAACTCACACGTATAAACAACAATATACTTAATACACTCAAACCATACTTGTATTATTATTGCGTTTATGAAAGGTAGTATACACTCACCTGATCAGAAGATGATCGGACAGCACTATGACTTGCAAAAGTAGTAATCCTCAGCAGATCTGGAAGATCTCTACAAAAATCGAACTTCTCACGGGCAGAGCTTCGGCTCAGAAACCGCACTTCTCGGGATCTTCGGGATCTCGGGACTTGCTTCGGGACTCGGGAATATTACCGGGGCTTCGGGGTGGCTTCAGGGGTAAAAACGCAGAGCTTCGACACGAATCGGAGGAGAAATGAGCAACTATGCCCGAACCCCTCGCATCCTATTTATAGAAGGCTGGAACCTCCTCGTACGCGGCTCCGAAGTCGTCACTGCATGCGTCATCCGAAGTGTCGACACTTCTTGCTGTATGCGGGGCGTACTCGAGTACGTGGGGCGTACTCCGGATGAGTCCGGTGACTCGTCTTCGGATAAGGCCGGATTTAATAATTAAATTTAATTATTAATTATTTAATAAATTCAAAAATTCATATCTTCTTCATACGAACTCCGTTTTTGACGTTCTTTATATCCACGCGAAGGTGAGACTACGCTCTATAACTTTCGTTTAGACTCCGTCGGCTAATTTTGACTTTATTTTTATTATTTATTTTTAATAGGCCGGGACATAAAATTTCGTTATAAATTCATAACTTCTTCGTTTGACGTCCGTTCTTGCCTAACTTTTTATCGCTTTGATACTAACAACGAGATCTTCGATTCTCGTTTAGATCACTAAGGCTAAATATCGCTCTAAGGTAAATTTCACTTTTTACATCATTCAGCGTTGCCGGTTCTGTCGCGAAACTTCGACAGGTCATAACTTCCTTGTTATAACTCGGATTTCGGCATTCTTTATATCTTCGGAAACCTTGTTTCAACTACTAGAACATTATCTAAAGATATCAAGTTTATTTTACACTTAAATTTTGACACTTATTTTTATTCTTAATTAATCAAACCACATAATTAAGCAATTAAGCACAAAACACATAATACTCAAATAATACATTTATATTATTTCAAAACGGGTTACAAAGGTTAACCTAGACCATTACATTGCTAAAAATGGCAAGCCCAGAAACACAGGCGTTACATGGGATTTTCAGGAGGAATTGCTTCTCTTTGGGACCCCACTCTATTCAGAGCTTCAGATGCTATAAAAGGTGTTGGCTTCCTTGCTATTAAAGGGTTGTGGTTAAAGTTAAAGAAGAAATGTGGTTTTATTAATGTTTATGCCTCACATTAGCCTAACGAAAAGAAGATCCTATGGAATAGACTACATGATCTTATTACATCTGATCCTCAATGTATGTGGTTTGTGTTTGGCGACTTTAATGCGGTCCGTTTTCCTGAGGAAAGGATTGGGTCAGTTTTTTGCCCAAACGGAGCATATTTCTTCAATAATTTCATATACTCTGCTGGCCTGTTGGAAATTAAGATGGGTGGTCGTCGTTTTACTTATATGAGTTCAAAGGGTGATAAACATAGCAAGTTATACAGATATTTGGTTTCCAAAAATGTTACTGATATTGGACCCTACCTGAATGTTATCACATTGCCACAAATTCATTCAGATCATTATGTTATCATTCTCTCTTCAAATCAATTAGATTTTGGACCGCATCCATTCAGGTTCTATAACTCATGGCTAAAAGAGCTTGGTTTTGAAGAGGTACTTAGGGATGGATGGACCATTCATGAAAAATCGGGTAGATGTCTATGGTTATCTCCACTCTCTCTTGTCGCTGAAAAACTGAAAAACTTGAAGGAACACATTAAAAAATGGAGGAAAGAACTCAAAGAGAAAAACAGAAAAGAAATTGAGGAGGTCACCAACAAAATCAATTCCATTGATTTACAGGCTGAGGAGGGTAATGTAAATGATGAATTAATAAAGATCCGTCAATACGCATATCAAAAAATTATGGAATTTAAAGCAAGTCGCATTGAGGATCTAAAACAAAAGTCAAGAACGAGGTGGGCACTAGAGGGAAACGAGAACATCAACTTTTTTCATGGGCTGGTCAATAAACACCAAAGATCACAGAGAATAAATGGTCTAAACTCTAAAAGATAATGGGTTTTGGATTAGTGATCCTGAACAGATTAAGCAAGTGGCGGTCAAGCACTTCAATGAAAGATTCAGTGAACCAATTCGATCAAGACCTAAATTTATCAGCCTAAATTCAGGAAATTACCTCCTAAAACGGCTATGCTTCTGGAGGAACTGTTCACTTTAGATGTGATCAAGTCGACTATATGTGCTTGTGGTTCGGATCGGGCACCTGGACCAGATGGATTCTCTTTTGCAGTGTTAAAGAGGCATTGGGATGTGATTAGAAGTGATTTCTATTTTGCTTTGAAGCTACCGGATATATTGAGAAAGGATGCAATTCATCTTTTATCTCACTTATCCCCAAGATACAAGACCCAATTACTATAAGTGATTTTCGTCCTATTAGTTTAATCGGTTGCTTATACAAAACAATCTCTAAGATTCTGGCTGAAAGGTTAAAGATGGTGGTTCATCTGGTTGTTAGTTTCGTGCAAACTGCTTTTATCAAAAAGCATTTTATCCCTGATGGCCCTTTGATATTAAATGAAGTGATAGCGCAGTTGAGGAAAAGTAAGAAGAAAGCTTTTGTTTTTAAAGTCAATTTTGAGAAGGCATTCGACAGCCTAAGTTGGGAATATCTAGATTCAATATTACAACAGATGGATTTCGGAGCTAAATGGCAAGCATGGATTCATGGGTGGCTATTGTCAACAAGGGCATCTGTTCTCATCAATGGGGCTGCAACGACTGAATTTGGAATGGAGCGTGGGATCAGACAAGGTGACCCGCTATCTCCATTCCTATATATCATAGTTGCTGAAGGATTACATATTGCTATAGAGATGGCAAACTAATAAGGAATCTTTGAAGGTATCCAGTTTCCCTAGCAAGGTTCGATCATTTCACATATTCAGTATGTTGATGATACTATTTTCATGGGTTCGTGGTCAATTGAAAATACAAATAATTTGATTAGAATTCTAAGATGTTTTGAATTATCATCGGGTCTCAAGGTGAATATGTCTAAAAGTAAACTATTTGGATTTGGTACCCAAAATTGCGAATTGGAGCTGGTGGCACGGAGCCTCAATTGTTCGATTGGTTCCCTGTCATTCATATATCTAGGATTGCCAGTTGGGGCTTCTATGGCAAGAGCAGTACACTAGAATCCTATCATAGAAAAATTCCAAGCAAGATTATCAAAATGGAAGGCATCTACTTTGTCGTTCGGTGGGCGTTAATGCTATGTAAAGCAGTATTGAGCAGCCTGAGTTCCTTTTATTTTTCACTATATAAAGCTCCCGTCAAGGTTATAAAAACTCTTGAAAAGATTAGAATGCGGTTCTTTGGGGGGGGGGGGGGTGATTTAGAATCAAGAAAGATGTCATGGATTGCTTGGGAAAAGGTTCTTGCAAC